ACATTGGTAGAATATTGTTTCAACAATATTTGGAACATTGAATTTACCTGTACTGATTGATATCATCACAACTTTATCGCGCGGAAGTAATCGTATACATATTGTTTTCAACAACTATTACCAATATCGCAATTCAAACATGTCGATTCTGAAGCGGTTAAGCAATATTGTGTAATCGAGTTCGACGGCAAATTGAATGAATATCGTTTCAACAATATTTCGAACATCGAATTTACCTATATTGATTGATATCATTCCAACTATACAGGGTTATGATAAAGTAATGCAAAAAATTCATAAAACGTACAACGATCACTCCTGAAAAAAATGCAAAAACACGTCAAACTGTTTTTTTCATTCCGCATCTTTTGACATACCTAAGTTACAAAAATAACACGTCGAAGTTGTCAAAGTTATGACGTCATCAACAATTTCTTTTAATGAGAAGCTAACATAGCCACATATTGAACAATAATGTACCGATATAACTTCACGAATATTCCAGAAATATTGGCATGGAAATATTCTACCAATATTCTCGGGGCAACATAGCTTCATGATGATTTTCAATGATTCATCTATATTACCATATAATATTGTACCAATATCGCAAAATGTTCACCATTATATAATATTTTGCCAATATTGATATTACATTCTGTTACCAATATAATTCTACGAATATTAAACCAATAGTGATATGAGAATATTTCACAATTTTCTTTGAGACGACATTGCAACATGCTGATTTTCAATATTTTACCCACATTTGTACCAATATCGCCGAATGTTCACATTTTTTTTTCTCGCCAATATTACTTTCACAATATTTTACCGATATTTTCGTAGTATTGCACCAATATTGTCCCAATATATGTTGTTATGTGTGCTACTTGGGTTATAGCCATGTTATAGCAGTTGATGGTAGTGCTGCTTTGAGATATGCCTCACCAAAAATCTTGGCCACCTGCATGTGTGTTACTACTCTACCAGGATGTGACTTCCGCTCATCTTTTTTTGTCTCACATCTTCTACGGCTTCGCGCATATTTTCTTCCCTCCAAGTATGGCGAATAACTTCACTTCTTATTTGAGGCATTTTCTTCAGTGAAACACAACAGCCTGTAATAAAAACAATCACAATATGATCAGAATTCTGAAATCGTTTGAAATTATGGCACCTTATGCCATCATAAGAAACATCTGGGGTGCCATCATATCAAAAGAGCAACACTGTGGATTTCGTAAAATATTTTTTCTACTACTGACGAAGTCTTGAGAAAGGTATGAGAAGCTATACACGCGTTTTCTTGAATGGCGCAACAATGAAGAAATGAAAATACCGAATGAAGAATAGGTATTCTAGACTCATTTCATAGAAGTGTCTGAAACCTAGAGACCAAACTCCTTATGGGCTTGCTGGCTTCCGCAATGAACATAATGCGTCAAACTGTAAGTTCACAATTACTAATAATTAGTAGATGAAGAATATATTTCTCTAGTTGTTCCTATTTGCATGAATAACTTTGAACGAATCAATCAATTGCCTACGCTTGTAGAAGAAAATATTGTTCCTAACTCATGCGGAAAGTGTCTTTTCCTCACTCGACTGCTTGCTCGATCTCCGCTTCGCGTCGTTCGTGTCAACGGCAGTCACGTGCGGGAGATAATCACTTTTCGCACTTGTTAGGAAAACTACTATTTCAATTCGGGATATAATATATTATACACTGAGTACATAATTTCAATCGTGTGGAATAGTCATTTTTCCACCACTATAGCTATACAACCTACCATTATTCATTCTGACTCGACTGCTTACGGGACACTGTCGTCTAAGATACCACCTGGGAAGGATGGGTCTGAACCAACAAACGGACTGTCGGTTCTGTTGTGTGGAAGACGAAACGGCTGAACACATATTATGCTCATGCTCTGGCTTAGAAAGACTAAGGTTCGACACATTTGGCTTTACCAACCTAGAACCTATCGATTTCAGACAAATCTCACCCAATTCAACCATGAACTTTGTAAAAAGATGTGGATTGTACGGTGAACTGTAACCTCTAGGGGTGAGCCACAATAGACCCATCTGGGGTCGCAGTGGAGGGGAGGTGTTCGCCCCACTCACATGGAACCTAACCTAACCTAACCTACCATTATTCATTTCTTATTTTCAAGACGGAAAGTGTGTTCTAACTACGCACGGTAGTTTTCGTCATTTCATGAACCACTAGTCGATAATGACATAGCCACCTGTATAATAACCAAGCCGAATTCACTCTTCTGATGCGAGATTCGCAAAAAATGGTATAAATCAATAATGACTTGTCATTTGCTGTCATGGTCATGGCTACTAGATAGAATTGAAAATGGTTGCTGTTATAGTGATAATAGGAGTCAATATTTCAGTTTCACACAACTATAATGATTGAAATATATCCCTAGTTGAGAAAATAATGTTATATACACCTTGGTAGTGAAGAATATCATCACCACGGGTACTTATACCCCTCAGGTGAAGCCACTGGATTTAATCTTGGTCCCTGGGTAATAATGATATCTTTCACTACCTTGGTGTACAAATAACTATTATCACATAACCCCGCCATCTCACAGATAATGTTATTTGGAAGCAAACCAGGGAGATTGAGAGAAGAATATTTTGCGGAAATTAAAATCGAGTTTCATTTGGATCTTGTAAATGTAACGAAAAATTTGGCTGTCTTTTACGACTCGAACATTAGGTATTTTAAGCAGGTCAATCACATGATAAAAATTGTGTTCTACAAACTGAAGTTGCTTTTCAATGACTGCAGCTGTTTCGATAAAAATACAAAAATTACTTTATGTGGAACTCTGGTACTACCTATCGCATTCCAACTATGCTGATACCTTGTATGGGCCATGCCTAAGAAAGCGCTGAACGGACATGACACTTTTTTTTTATAATTGCCAGTTTGAACTGGCAATTAGCCATAATTGCCAGTTTGAACTAGCAATTAGCCATAATTGCCAGTTTGATCTGGCAATCAGCTATAATTGCCAGTTTGAACTGGCATTTAGCTATAATTGCCAGTTTGAACTAGCAATAAGCCATAATTGCCAGTTTGATCTGGCAATTAGCTATAATTGCCAGTTTCAACTGGCATTTAGCTATAATTGCCAGTTTGAACTGGCAATTAGCCATAATTAGCCAGATTGATCTGGCAAGTAGCCATAATTGTCAGTTTGAACTGGCATTTAGCTATAATTGCCAGTTTGAACTGGCAATTAGCCATAATTGCCAGTTTGAACTGGCATTCAGCTATAATTGCCAGTTTGAACTGACAAATATCCATAATTGCCAGTTTGAACTGGCATTCAGCGCTTCCGTACGAAAGGATCTAGTCATGCATGTTATCGCCATCTTGTGACGCCAAAAAACTGATGCGAACGCGAACGATTATTTGGACCAACGCAAAGGGCGAGTGGACTGATAATGAATTATTGGCATTCAATTACTCCACTGTATCGTTAGAGACCTATAGTATATTGTTCAACAAAAACGGAATGTTAGTGATTTTTCCCGAGAATGAAATTTGCAGCATGAGCCGTAGGCAAATGATGCTGCAATCATTCGAGTGGGAAATTAGCATTCCCTGCGAGTTATACACCATGATTTTTCTACGGCTGTGACAGATAACAGCGACATTCTTGATTTCTTCGTCTTGTAGCCATCTGATTTCCTCTCAAATAATAAGCATCTATCAGACAGAGCTGTCATTGCTTGAACTGTGACATTCCATTTGCGGGGTCCTTTCGTACGAAAGCGCTAAATGCCAGTTCAAACTGGCAATTATAGCTAAATATCAGTTCAAACTGGCAATTATAGCTAAATACCAGTTCAAACTGGCAATTATGAAAAAAAAGTATCATGTCCGTTCAGCGTTTTCGTACATGCCTGACTGAAGAAAATTGCAAAAGATTACAAACGGTTCAAAATAGATGCCTCCGTTTTATTTCTAACATTGGTAAAATACATTCGGTGTCTAGTTAACTACTGGAGTCAAGATGACTATACATTTGAGCAGCTGAAGATTCGAAAATTCGGCAGATGTATATACTTCTGGTGAAATGCAACATAAAATTATTGTTAGACAGTAAAATGGCGGACGAGTTTTGTAATTATGATTCGATTCTATTCAAATCTGGTTCTCTCAAGGGATGGTGATTACGATACTCTAATCAAACTTGGAGAATTCGAGATGACAAATCCAATATATGACAGCGAGTTTTGTAATTATGAACCGATTCCCTTCAAATTTGATATCTGGAGGTTTTCAGGGTCAGAGATTATGATTCTCTCACCAGTATATGGAAATTCAAGATATCAGATCCAATAATGACGAATGACATTTGTTATCCTGATCCGATTCCATTCAAGATTGTGTATATGTTTTTGGGGTCGGAGATTATGATTCTCTCATCGAAATTGGGAAATTCTAGATGACGGTCTCGATATAGCGAACGAGGTTTGTTTTTATGGTCCGATTTTATTCAAAATTGGTATCTGGGAGTATTCGGGGATATAGAAACTATGATTCTTTCGTCAAAATTCAAAAATTGAATATGGCGGATCCAATATGGAATATGGCGGACGAGTTTCGTAATCATGATTCTATTCATTAGAGATTTGTATGGAGGGGGATTTCTGGAGTCTTATCATTTTATATTCTACTTCTTTTCAATTCATTCATCTATGAATGCGTACATCTTTATTTCTTGAAACTACTATTTATTATAGTTACAACTGCGAAAGCGCGAATCCAATACAACTATTGAAGAGGTGACTGAAATGACTCATCGTTTGCAAACTCTCTCTTGACGAATCAAGTTTCAACATACGTTACCATTCTATTGTTACCAGAAGATTGAAGAGGGGATACCATCAGACCATCACGAGCATCGTCAACGCTAGAGGTAAATTGTTACAGTTATAGCTCACCACAAATGAAACACAAATAGTCGTTTGTCAGCAAAATTAACATTATTGACATTGGTAAACAATTTGAAATTATAAACAAACCACCTTACATGTCACAAAACAATCAATAGGCAAGTTCAGGTAAAAGGTGATCTCTGATTTGAAATATATATTATAATCTTCACCTGTGAAACGAGTGCTGTGTTGTTGGTAAGTTGCAATGATGATTTTTATGTTGTCCTCTGCAAATTTAGTGAAAGTGTAACACAAATAATATCTTTGGAAAGTTAGGTACCTACGATCTTTGTGTTCGAACATAAACCTAGGTACTTAGGATTTCAAGCATGTTGTTGTTATGAAATTATATAGTTGAGTGCAGAAAAAATCTATGATTCGCAATTATTCAATACATGTTGAGAGGCGACCGCTTATCCGAATGGATTTATTGCTGTAACCTTGAAATCAGCTGAACTCATCCGAATGAACGGCTATAACGACGTTATGTTTGTCATAGAAATTGTATTCTCAGTTTGTGATTCTCAATCCCATAAATCAATGTTTTATGGAGAATATCAAGTCGATTATTTTCTTCGTATGATTTTGAACCTATTAGAACGTTCAATTGAGTTAAGCTACCTTGTATTATTTCGAATATACGTGGATATACATGAAGTAACTCCACCAATCAGGAATGATTTCCATACATAATACACTCAATTCCAAAAAAAGTGACGCACTTGATATTTGACCTATCTTCTTAAAGAAAAGAAAAAACAAAAAAAAATAGGCCGATTTTTTTTTTCATTTGTTGGTAGGTAATGCATTTGTCTATAAGAAAAAAATAAAGAGGTGAAAATGTTTTCAAAGCCTCCTTGATGGTGGTGGAATAACTCGAACCATGATTTATTCCTAATTTTTGACTCACCCTGTGTGTTAATTGAGTAATGGCATAGGAAGTGCTTTCACTATATACGAAAGGAGCTTCCTTTGCGAGCATTGTGTTTTTTTATTCATTGATTTATCTCTAAAATTTTCCGAATCACAGCTTTTTTGCTGAATCCTTGCAGATTACCTTTCTGAATTTATCGAGAAACAGTTTTTTAATGAAATGAACTGATACCAATAGTTTTAAAAAACATTTTCATTTTACACAAGATTATAAATTGGGATGACTGCTTAATACCGTGTATTACCTCCTCTAGCAACTTTAGGAACTTTTAATCTACGAGGCATATTGGAAATTGAGTTGCTTATCGTTTCCATTGGTATAAGATCCCATTCTTCCACTAATGCATCTGCCATTTCTGCGAGACTTTCCGTAGACCTCTCGCGAGAACGTACCTTTCTCCCTAAGTCATCCCACAAATGTTCTATAGGATTCATATCGGGGCTTCTCGCAGGCCATTGTAATGTGGTAATACCAGTAGCTTCTAAAGAGTTTCGCACTATTGCTGCGGTGTGTGGTCGGGCATTATTCTGCATCACTATAAAATTACTGCCCACTAACTCTGCCTAAGGTAAGCTCCCCCCCACACCATAACGGACCCACCATTGAAACTTTCGCATTCTGTTAAGTATTGAATTTTGATTAAACCGTTCACCAGTTCTCCTCCACACTCTTTTCCTTCCATCCACCATGTTAAGGCAAAACCTTGACTCATCCGTAAACAAGACATTCGACCATTCAGGAATATTCCACTGTCTATAATTTTCAACAAAATTTTCTCTAGCAGCACGAAGTTCTGGCAATAATTTGGGACCTTTTGCAGGTCTCCTAGCTCTCAAATTAACTTATTTTGGACAATTCTACAGTTTTTTATTCACCGCAGGATTTGATCGATTCCGTAAAGTCCGCAACTTCAAGAAGCGATCATCTCTTGAAGAAGTTTTTCGGGGGCGACCAGTACCGACCCTCCGAGCGGTGCTTCCTGTTTGTTCGTACATGCGGATTGCTATACGAGCAGTTGCTTCATGAATTCCCATTGCAAGAGCGGCGTCACGATCACTACGCCCATCTTTTACTAACGCAACTAATCTTAATTTTATTCAAAATAGAACAAGACACTTAATTAATAACACAACGACCATTTCTGAAGGCGTACTGGGTACGTACGATTCCGATGTACTGGGTATGTCCAACTCTGGACGTTATCGACTTTTTGTTCACAGGATTGAATACATTGTCTAATGATAATCGAAATCATTGCATATATAATTTTTACCCTCGATATGTGAAATCTATTCATATAGCAACCTTGCAAACATAAACATAATACAATGCTCACAATAAATTAATCATTTACTGGCCCCACCAGATCACTAAACATCTATTTAGGTATTCTCTGCCGTGATTATCTAATTCTATATACTGTTAATCAACAAGTGTTCTTCAGAGTAATAGGTTGAGCTGAGCATTTGTGCATGTGGTGATCTAAAGGTCGTGGGATGGATCCCCGGTATATGCGTTTTTTTTAATCCTTTTCATCCAAAATGAGACTCTACTTTATCTAAATCTATCTTTTTTGACCATCTGTGTGAAAAGAGGCGGATCTACGTTGACTCATGTATCCATGGTCCTCAATGGACGTACTGAGGATGTACAAACGTGCGGAATCTGGACGGCTCCAGTACGTACCTGAACGTCGACCGTACCAAATCTAAACGTCCCCAGTACGTACGAAACGTCTTGGCCAGACGTTGTCAGTACGTTTCGTGGGTGTACTAGTGCTATATGGGCGGTGTCTGCCATCTTTTCTTTTTCTATACCTATCTGTGAGTAGGGCTTCGCGAGACTAAGACCTTGTGATCAGTCTCAGTCTTGGTCTCAAAAAATAAAAGTCTTGGTCTGTTTCAAGACGAGACTGGTTGGTTTTGGTCTTGATAGTCTTGGTCTTGGATCAAAATGCGTCTGGAAATTAGAATTATTCAATTCAAATATCCAACAGTTTATATGCATTTAATAGGTATTTCGTATTTTCCAGTCTTTAGAATTGTCAATTTTTGCGTATAGTGTGAGCGAAATGAATTTCTATTTTCACCATAAGAATATAATCTTTTTTAATTACAATAATTTAGACCTGGCCATTTACGAAGTGAATTTTTAAAATCCAGATATCTCAAAAACAGCTGCCCAAATCAACTTTTACCACGTATACATATTTTATGTAAAAGACGTTGGACAATCCGAATTTTCATTTGAAAATTAAATATGGGGTGACTCAAAAAAGTTATTTCGTTTTAAATGTGTGCAAGGTTCCGCAGATGGTACCTTTACAATAAGAATGATAGCAAATTCTAATTTTTCAACCAGCAAAACCCCCCCAAGCCAAATATTGTAACAATACACCAATTATTAAAAAAAATATTGAAAATCAAATTGAACTTTTGACACTCTGTATCTCTGAGATCATCCACTTTTGGACTGAGGTAAGTTGAGTTAGATCGTCATATTTACGCCTCAGGAACTTGTGGTAGCTTTTTTCCGCACCTTTCAGGGACACCCTGTATGTAAACAAAAATTGAAAACCTGCCATATGACAGATGAATAACTGAAATAGAATGCCATTACAATTTTCATTAGATTTTTCTTAATATCGAGTAGATTCAAGTTCAAGCTGAAGTCAAGTCTTGGTCTTGGTCTTGAGAAGATTTATTAAGTATTGGTCTCGGGCTCACGAAGCCCTATATGTATGAAACAATAATAGTCAAATATCAATTCTCCTAGAAGACAAAACGTGACTTTTTTATCGTCGTTCAACTTTTAATTTAATAACACAGAAATAATGTTTGATTTCTTTGGAAGAAAATATTTATACGACGTACAAGAAGACGTACGCTTCCTCGGTTGTAGTCACCGCAAATATATGCAACAACGTAGAATTAATTTGCCGCGTGAAATTTGGTAGTGTCTTTTTATCAAATGGTGAGAAAAATAATCCTCCCAAAATACAAGTCGTCCCTAAAATTTCATCCAATAATTTCTCATTTTCATCACACACTTCATTGTACCAGTATATCACCTGACGAAACTACTGTTTTAGCAGAACATGTCGTGTGTTTGAGAATTTTGTGGAAATCTTATCGTTTGTGAAGTTTTTACATTTGCCATGGAATTCTATCAAGTATTTCACTTGAGGCAGAATCATTCAAACAAAGCGAATAATATAAAATTACGAGTCCGTGAAATCACTAGTCTTGTTTTTTTTCTCAAGTTTTGTCAAACAAAGAAGTGTTCGTAGAGAATCAAAAAGAAATCGATAAGATCAGAATCTAGTCGGGAAGCAAGTTAAGTTTTACGACTTCAGATGAGTCAGGAATAGAAGTACCTATACATATTTCATTTATATTCAGAATATTTAATCAGCTCAAACTTTCTTGAAAGTTCAATTTAGTCCTGCATATTATAGATGCATCACATTCTGTTTCAAATTCGCATTTATTAATTATTTTAGGATTCAGTCACAACATTTTCCAATGTTACTATCGCGTTCGCAGTTGGATTGAATTTATGGCATTGAAAGGATTCCTCTTTTTTGCGCTACAAAAGATTTAAAAATTTCCATAGCAAACAGTTGCAACTATGGATATTGGATTTTGATTCGATGAATAAATAATAAGGGCTCATTGAGGTTTTACATCTGGTACATACATTTTACGTATAGTACTCCTAAATTAAGTATTACTTTCGAACTTTCGAACTTTCGAATTATTATTGATTTATTGCAGACGAAAACTATGGGTGTTGAAATGACAAATTGTTGTGGATTCAGCCTGAAACATGGAACCATAATAATCGGTGTGGTTCAAAGTATAATTGCTTTCATGTTCCTGGTTCTGGCAGCTGCTTATGCAGAAAATCCTCACGAGCTAATTGACATGTCTGATCCCTCTATTGTTCCTGACTTGAGCGGTGAGTAGAGAGTCATTCATTTTATTTCAAAATGATCATCGAGTATCAGTAATTTTGTGATTTCATCTTCTACTAATTATATGTTAACAGTTTGGAATAATGATGCATGATTGTAGTATAATTCATTGATGATAGGCGACATCAGAAAATAGGAAAGAGATACAGAACTCATCCTACTCCAACAATCTACGACAAGCGGAGAAAGTCAATAATTTGGAATACTTGGGGAACGTGATGAATATTGGTTGACCATATTTTTTCTGAAATACGTCAAAAATTGCTTCTTTATTTCCTGGATCCTATAGTTCGATGTTATAGGAGGAACATAATATATTATGATGCCTACAATATATTTCATTGTGACGAGAAAAAAGTTTAGAATTTCATCTGTTTCGTAAAACCACGTCACCACTGGAGAGTTGAAAAAAAAATGTGAATGATATCCACTGACAGTAAGAAATGACGTATCATTTATCACATAAAAATAGATCACATATACCATCAAATGTCTAACAAGTGAATTGTGATATAATCAGCATCAAGTGTTTGGTTCCTCATCTTGAATAACCTGTTTATTCCTACGTGAAATGTTTTCAAATTTGCCAATTATCCATGGGCCATCTTGAGTACTTTGTGGCACAATGAGAATTTCACCATATGAGTGAACTTTTTTCTCGGTGTATTGATCCATAATGATTCTTTGTTTTCTAGTTTTGAGGGGTATTCTGATTGGAGTTGCTGTGCTGAATGGCCTTTTATGTGTGTTCTCAATACTTTTGATAATAGGAGCTGAAACAGTGAGTACCTATATATACCAATAAATGCATAATTATATAATATTCCTCCATATGAACGGCACCTTTATTGAAATATGAAACTTCTTCTACCAGGAGAACAAGAATAACTTACAACGACCATTAAAATCCAGTAATTCCAGCAAACAGTTATGTTGCTTTATACACAATTACATATATATAGACACCTAGATATTCAGTACATCCTATAACGGGTATAACAGGATCATGGTATACACAAACCCATCTAAATGGTACTAAATTTGGTGATAAATCAAGAATGTTGAAATTTTTTAAAGGCGTCAATTTTTTCATCACATCCCCGACATGAGTACCTACATGCACCAGATGTGATCAGAATTGTCATGTCAGATGAATAATCAAAAATTAATTAACAAATCCATGTCAATATCGATGTTTGAAATGTCACTCATGTGGTAATATTGAATTCATGAAATGACGTAGAATTCTAGAACACAATGATATACAGCGTTGTTTCATTTGAAAATCAAAAGTTATAACCACTCTCGATAAAACCGAGAGTTGAGAATGAAAAATAATATGAATTTGTCAAGATATGAAAGTGATCAAGTTGATGGGTCATGTCAAATTCGAATGACTTATATATCTGAAGCCACAAAAGATAAAAAGGGATGAACCAAGATCCTGTTACACCCGGTATACATGATAAGTTATCAGCACCTGCTTAGTCATTATCAGGATGAGCATTTATTGATGGAAATTATTGTTACATATTCATTGAACGTATTCTGCTATCACCACTATAGTGTATATGACTGATACGTTCAGTAGTACCTTTATGACCTCATGGTGTATTGCTGATCAGAGCGCGATGCAGGTTATGACTGTTATTTATTACTGAATGCTGTAGAAGTGCATGTCTTAGTCATTTGGTAACTATAATAGGCGTATGTTCCACTAACGAAAAATATCATTGATTGGTGAGAAATGGCCATTTGTATACCTATAGAGGAAAACTATTAAAGATTGATAGGATAATCTTGGAGTGTGCATATTGATTTTTTTCGTAGACCTCAAATAACACTTATATCCACATCACGGTCCTATATTCAAACTTCAAATCTATCGGATTTTGTGGATAATCAATTTGAAAACAGCAAATGACAATTGTTGTCAACTCACTCTTCGCGCAGACCAATGTTGCCAGTTCGATTTTTATTTCATCAGTACCTAAATACATTGAAAAAATAAACAGATCTATTTTATGCTTAACGAATTCCAACTTCGAGAAAGGATAATGATATAAACCAAATGACATAATAGAAAAAAAAAACAAACATTCTCATAACGAAATAATCATATTCTCAATTCTCAATCCGAAAATAATCATGAATATCACAAAATACATTTACTCATTCGAATATGGAAAAAAAAAACAGGAACGAATAGTGAAAATGAACAACAATAGTACGAAACAAATAAAGAAATTAAACGTGAGAAACAAACTGTTTTAACAGCAGTAATGAAAAAAATTAATTTCATCTGAATCAGATGAAGTATTGTCATTTCTTGGTTCATACATATCATTAGTAAGTACCTATATGTTGATTCATTATTTATTTTGTAAAATTAGGTTGAACAGAGCGTGCCGAAATCTCATGCAATTCATAAGTGTATGTGATCAACTAAAGATCAATAATAATTTGGGTAATTACGATAATAAATTAGTATCGAAATATTTTCCAGCTATTTATGAAATGTTTTAGTAGATCTGGAGATCTACTCAAAGTTCATTAGAACTGGCAGTAGATCTGGAGATCTACTCAAAGTTCATTAGAACTGGCAACCCTGCAGCGATCGACATGTGTTTGCTGACGCAAAGTAAGTTTCTGCGGACGGAAAGTACTTGCCTTCGGAAACGTAGAATGTGATAATATGTAGAGGTCGACGCAAAAAACAGTTATTCAAGAAATCATCCATAATCCGAAACTTCCTCTATCACTCACTTATAAATTCAATAACTCAAAAACTCATCTCATTACAATTATCCTCTGATTGAACTGGGCATTTGATCTATTTGATATGATTTTTGATTACCATCATCATGTCATTAAAATACCAATTTTTCTGGGGAACTGAGATGTCGACTGTTTGCAAACAATGGTTATCATATAGTTTGTTATCATTGTATAGTCCCATGGACTTCAGTACCAGAAAAACAGAAGCAAATTTAGATAAACCAAAATTTCATGGAATTGAACATTGATTATACTACATAAATATAAGGAACCTCGCTGTATGCCCACATCGGCCCAATAGCGTACCTAAGCTTCTGAAACCAGTACCATGAGATTATAAGTTTTTCGGAATATTTCCCCTTTGTTTCTTGTATGTAATGATGTGATTTATTCGCGATTTCCATGATATTTTTAGACCTACAGAATCGACATTCTCTTCAAAATTCATCACGCTGCAATGGAAGTTTATTTAATTCAATTCAACAGTGGATTTTTTGTTTCCTCTCGTCTCTAAACACATAAAAAAATATAAATATTTTCATTCAGTATTGAAAGAGTTGAGCCATTTCCGGTGAGATTGATGACGTAGACTTCACATTATCATTTCGCGCGAATACAACGTTCTCGAATGTTCTGCATATACCAATTGACAGAGTCTCATGGCGGTATACCCCTCTTCTCTCCTTTGTTTTTCTAGCTTTATTTCTGGAATTCGGAACATCGAATATGCTCACTAGAGTGCACTTTCTCACATTTTAAAATTTTTCCTCCTTTGGTTCTCCTGAAAATGACATCAACTTCCGATTTTCAAATGAAACACCCTTTATTTTATTCCATAATTGCTTAGAGACTATTCATACAAATTCAACGATAAACCGAGTTTGATCGAGTTATTTCAAACGATTACGAAGATATTTGCGTTCGAAGATTCCAAATTATCAATTGGTGTGACGGCGCAACACCGAAAACGTCATTTCTGTCACACCCATTGAGCCCATTGAAATTTTCAGCGCAAATATTTACGTAATCCCAATCGAACCCGCTATCGTTGAGTTCGTTATAATAATCTCTAACCAATTATGGAATAAAATATAGGGTGTTCAGGAGATGTGAAGAAATTCCTGAAACGTGAGCATATTTGATGATCCAATTCCAGAAATATAGCTAGATAACATAGGAAAATGGGGGTACATCATGAGCCTCTGATGTAACCCGCTATAACTGTATCGAGAAACTTCACTGTCAGTTCTCTAATCCTACAAATCAACATTCAATTCATTCATGACATCGATGACTATAATCTTTTTATATTTTGAGAAAAGTTATCATCACGACACATGACATATTATGACTGTATTTGAAATTTCATTGGTGAGATGAATACTCTTCCACCTTGTATTGGTTGGAACAATTGGTAACTTGGTTATTATTGGAGTTAGGAAGTCGTTCGAATGAACAAACTACACCTTTTTGTATATCAGAAGGCGTCAATTGTATTGCAAAATACCCACTTGTATTTCAGAATAGTCAATTGAATTTCAAAAAAGTCACTTGTATTTCAGATAGCGTCCATTGTATTTCAGAATAGTCAATTGAATTGCAGAAACCGTCGATTGTTCTTCAGAAAGCGTCAATTGTATTTCAGAATAGTCAATTGGATTTCTGAAAGCATCAAATCGAATTCCAGAATAGTCACTCACATTTCAGAGAGTCAATGTTATTTTAGAATAATTAAAAAAATTTCCGAAAATGTAAATTGTATTTAAGAATAGTCACTTGTATTGCTGAATAGCGTCAATTGTATTTCAGAATAGTCATTTGTATTTTTGAAAGTTTCAATCAGATTTCAGGGTAGTCAATTGAATTTCGGAATGTGTCGATTGTATTTTGAAGAATATCTATTGAAATCCAAATTACACTTTCTGAAATACTATTGACGCGTTCAGGAATACAATTAACGCTTTCTCAAATTGAATTGACTACTCTGAAATACAATTATTGACGAAAACTGAAGTACAAGTGACTATTCCGATATACAATCGACGGTTTCTGAAATACAAGTGACCTATTCTGGAATACAATTGATGCTCTCTGAAATCGAATGGACGGTTCCTGGAATACAACTGAAGAAGTTGTAGTAGGTAGTGATTTTCCCGCTGATCACGATGATGAAAACGGAACAAAAATCTGACATCACGTTTACGCGAGTTATGTCAAAATTAAATAGGACACCTAGTGAACAATATTCTCAATCGATGAATCCGATTCTAAACAAGAACTGGAACTTTTATCGTAAATTCAAAAATAGCTGCACTATCGACCATTTCATGGTTAGGTGAAGCTACTGTAAAGCTACCCAATACTTTAACTAATTTGAAAAATTGGCGATAGCTCAGTAATTTTTTATTTCATGATGAAATATTATATATGACATGTCTCGTTCGAGAATATTGTGTACTGGGTATCCCATTTGAAACAAAATACTGAAAATCAGCTTTTGACATAACTCGAAAACGTGATTGTCTTGGATTTATGACATTTATCATACAGGACAAGGAAAGACATTCTGAATTGAGGAAAGCTATTCACGAATCTGCGATTAAGGGTCTATAAAAATAACGGTTTTCTATCGTTTAAGTTTGAACCCCTTGATTGGGTGAAAGTGTTGGAAAGAAATATTCTCAGATGAAATTATGAACGTGAAAAAATGGATATATATAAATATAAAGAAATAAATTGGGAATTCGCATTCGTAAACGCGATGTTCTATTTTTATTTCGATTCCATCATATCGTAATCAGCAGAACAAATACTACTATGAACCTTTTCCACTTGTATTTCAGATAGCGTCAATTCATTCACAGAAGGCGTGAATTGTATTTCAGAATAGTCGCACTTGTATTTCAGGAAGCATCAATAATTGTATTCCAAAATAGTCGATTGAATTCCAGAAATCTTCAGTCGTATTTCAGAATAGTCTTTTCAATTTCAATTGTATTATTCAGAAAGCGTCAAATGTATTTCAGAAAGTGTCAATTGGATTCCAATCGATATTTTCTGATTGACACTTTCTGAAATTCAATTGGTTATTCTGATATACAATTGACGCTTTCTGAAATACAAATAACTATTCTGAAATTCAATTACCTATTCTGAAATGCAATTGATGCTTCCTGAAATACAAGTGACCATTATTCTAAAACACAATCGACACTTTCTAAAATACATCTGGAGAAGGTATGGTTCGTCCTTTTGACCAACTCTGTAGCTCTTATATTAATTATCAAGTTAGAAATATTGCCGAATGAAGTTTAAAACCCCTGTATAAATCTAATAATAATAATAATAATAATAATAATAGTAGCTTTATTGTCCAACAGTTACCCATTTACAGGACAATATTACAGAATATGATGAAGCATAGCTAAATAAAGATCAAAATAATTTAAGAAATAACGAAATTATAGCTAATCACATGGTTATCCTATGGCAGCAAATTTACAATTTTAATCAAACAACTAATACTACAACTGAATATGTCACACATGTTTGCAATACAGTTATAGTTATTGCACATTACATAAATAGGCGAGTTAAGCATAATATTTGTATTAGCTCGTGTGTTTCTGAAGGTAACAGCATTGCGAGTGGGATAAGATGGCACATTAAAGTTTAGCTGTTCCAGTATATCGCTACAGTCTATCAAATTGTGTAGAATCTTGTAAAGAAATATAAGGGAGGCACAATCCCTCCTCATTTCTAGAGACATGAAATTCAGTCGTTCACATAGTTCGTTGTTATCGATACCCCTTCGGGGATAAATACCGTCAATTTTGAAAAGCAAATACTTTAAAAATCTACGTTGCACTTTCTCTACAAGCTGAATGTGAACTTCATAAAATGGAGACCATATTATACTTGCATATTCAAGTTTTGTTCGTACATATGAAAAGTACAGGAGTTTAATAGCTTTTATATTGGTCAAATCTCTGCTGTTTCTAACTATGTATCCATAAGATCGTAGTGCTTCAGACACTTTTGATTTTATGTGTTCAGTAAAGGTGAGTTTCTGATCAAAAATCACCCCTAAGTCTTTGAATTTTTTTAACCGTTCCAATGTAGACCCATTAATTTCGTAAGGATACTCAAAAGAGTTTGTTTTCCTCGTATAACTTACAACCTTACACTTGTTGATATTCAGACAAAGATAATTATTGTTGCACCACGTATGCACATCATTCAGTTGAGTTTGAAGGTTATGACAATCGTCCTCGTTAATAATCAATGAGTATAATTTCAAATCATCAGCATAACACAAACAGTGAGTATCTATTGTATCACATAGATCATCAATGAATAACAGAAAGAGTAATGGGCCAAGATTCGAGCCTTGTGGTACACCAGACAAGGCACAGTACTTTTCGGATTTGAATCCATTGTAAGAAACGTATTGTACTCTGTCTGATAAATAAGATTCCATAAATTCTACTGCCTCCTTCGCAAATCCAAATTTTCTTAACTTATTCAGCAAGATACCATGATGTATTCTGTCAAAGGCCTTTGAAAAATCTGTGTAAATAACATCTACTTGACCTATATTGTCCAAAGCCTCTGAGAGATGTTGTGTTATAATTAGCAGATTAGTAACAGTTGAGCGCTTTGATACAAATCCATGTTGATATGGGGACAATTGGTTGTTGATAGTTGAGTATATTCTATTATAGAGTATCACTTCGAGAACTTTCGACAGGTTACATATGATAGAAATGCCCCTATAATTATCTATACTGTTTTTTTCTCCACTTTTAAAAACAGGACATACCTTCGACTCCTTCCAAAGTGTAGGATATTTTCTGGTCTCTAGACATAGATTGAATATTATCAGTAATGGGCTGGTAAGTGCACCTATGCAATCTTTTACTAGAAAAGAGGGAATATTATCTGGTCCAGTTGTCATTTTATCTTTCAATTTTTTACAGGCACTTAACACTTCCTCTTCACGAATCGGATAGAATCTTATGTGATCTGACTGCGTATCATCATAATTAGTTGAAAGTGGTATGTCAAAGGTTTGATAAACACTTTCAAAAAATTCCCCAAAGGCATTAACAATATTTTGTGGTTCGGTATAGGTATTACCTTGATACTTCATTTTGCCTGGTATCCTTGAAGTATCGTTTTTCGCATGAACATACGACCAAAATTGTTTAGGATTCTGCGTTAAGGAAATTTCAATATGCTTAATATACTCACTATGAGCCTCTTTAATTTGTTGTTTAGTTGTACGCCTCAGGCGTTGAAATTCTATCAGATCGGAATTACTCTTGTGTCGATTAAATTTATTTTTGTACTTAACTTTCAGTTTGATATTTCTGATAATATCGGCATTGAACCACGGAGGATAGGTATGGCTATAGTTTTTATAAGTGGGTACGTTTCTGTCAAATAATTGATACACTTTGTCATAAAAAATCTTTAAGGCCTCGTCTACATCAGTAGCATTGAGTATATAATCCCAATTAGTTTCGTATAAGTCTCTATATAAAGCAGGGAAGTTTGCCTTCCTAAAATTATAATTAGTTCGATTAGGATCAAACTGAAATTTGGGCTCCTTGATGAAAATATCGGATATGCTAATTGTGAGTGCCGGGTGATGAGCATCCTCATTCACTAGAGGTGATTCATCACGCGTTACTTCACATTGCAGTTGTGACATAACTAAATCTAATACCCTATTTAGTTGATTCAAGACATAGTTGTGTTGAATAAGGCCAAACAAGTTAACAAAATTCATGACTACTGATGTGCGAGTGTCAGCAATATCTTCATTGATTAGTTTTGGTGTATTAAAGTCTCCTAGAATAATAGAATCTTTGCTCAAGTAATCTAGTTGTTCAAGGCTTTCGAAAAAATATTCAAATTGTTCTGATTCTAATTTGTCTGGGATGTAAGCGACTAATACATAAATTTTTTTGTAACCTATCTGACACATTACAATCAGTAGATCAATCAGTGGAAATTGCAAGTCAAATAAATTAGTATTTACCACTTCCGATTTTATGGAACAATTCAGGGCTATCAACACACCACCACCAGTCGTTTTGTTTACTTGCTGGTGCTTCCGATCCTTTCGATAAACAAAATATGTATCCGGGAATAGTTCAGAGCTTGAAACGTCTTGCCGTAGCCACGTTTCAGTCAAGGCTATTATGTCATATTCGCAGTCGCTGATAGCTGCATTGAAAGTTGATATCTTGCTATTCAATCCTCGTACGTTCTGATAATAGCATGAAAGGTCACGTCTTGAAGAACAACTTGATACGTTTAGATCATTTGTCAAAGAAGTATTTGGCGCATGTATTTCTGTTGATACGCTATTAATATCTGGCATACTGATGCACAAATCTTCAACATTATTGATCAAGAGAGAGTTGGTCCTTGGTTGCTACTGGGGAGCCAAGATATCCTGTCTAAGCTTGTCCAGAGCGTTAGCGTAGACAGTACATTTGTCCTTCTCCCAGACTGCATGATCCATGGGAGTATCTGCCTTATTGAGTTTAACACAGTTGATACATTTGCGAGTCTGAGAAGTGCATTGTTTCACATCATGGCCCTCACTGCAAATCGGACAGCAGATTGGCTTTCGGCAGCGGCTCGAAGAATGGTGGTATTCATTGCATTTGAAGCATCGAAGTATATCAATAGCGTCATATACGGTACAGCTGTCGTATCCAATAAATAGGTTGCCAGCCGCGATACATTTTTCATATGAAACTTTATCAATTTGAATGATGGCTTGGAAAATTTTTTCATTTTTCTTCGTTGGAAAGACTTTCATAATCTTGCACGTAGATTCAGTAGAGAAAATGCGTGCGTTACATCTGACAGTTAGGTCACGCAGCTCAGTTTCTGAATATTGTTCTGACATTCCTACTATTCGTATGCGTGGATTCACACCGGCAACTTCTCTAACTTCATAATTCTCTGAAATCTTTTGCTGCATCATAACCTTCAACTTATCATTGTCATCTTTATTAACACATCCAATGAGAATGCCGCCATCTCTAACACTCCTAACTTTCTTCAGTTGTATTTCAGATTGACCAGGATTAACGGCACGTAATATTTCAGATTTGGTTTGATCAACAGATTGGTTTGTATTTTTCGGCTGAATTATTATTGCTGGCTGAGTCCTGTTTTTGAGAACTTCAGAAAAGGAAATAGGTAATCTGCTGTATGAACGATTTTCTTGTGCCATTTTAATAATGTCTACTTTCATGGAGTCAACTTGTTTCTTAATTTCCGCAACAGACTCATCAAGCTTCGTTTGTAAGAACTGGTTGATCTCATTTTGATTGATTAATATGCAGCTACGAACACAGCTTGTACATTTCCACGATAAACCTGGAACCGATGCTAAAACACCCAGTATATCTGCACTAGCGATACAAGAAGCATGTACCTGTTTTTTGCATGCCTCACAAGAAACACCTGGCTTCGTGCGGCTTATTGACGATACACAGATATCACAATTAACCATGTCGAAACATAATACACAGTTTCCGAGTCAATCACTAATAATTGTAACTTGAAATTTCACTGCACTGTAGTCGGTAATCTCAAGAGTATCTGTTGCAAATTTTACTAATTTTGAGACAGTTTTACTACTAAAACTAGATGAAAAAAAAAACGAGAACACGATCTACAGCCGTTCAGCGTAGATGTGTAATGATTGACTTCAGCAAATTTTTTCTTGTTTTTCCAGAATCGTCCTGCATTACTCCGACCATGGTTGGTTCTGAATCCAGTAGCTCTCATTCTGTATATTATATGTAACGTCGTAGCTATAATCCATCACAATAATATGAATAACACGCCCTTCATCGTGGGACATTTTCTTCTCACCATTATGGCTACTCGTGAGTATTACAATTTATATCTTCTAGTGTTCTCAGTAGGTACCCATTTCTGAAATCATTACATCGTAATATACAGGGTGTTCCTCAATGGTCTGTACAAAATAATATCATAGACTCCTCTGGAATCAAAGAGGGATCATTGAACCAATCTCACATATACAGGGTGATTCAAAAGTAAGCGGCATCCTTTCAGAGGCGTATTCCTTGCTTGAAAATAAGGCAAAAAGTTCCTATTGATAAGGATCCGAAAATGCTTCCTAAGGGAGCTACGGCCCTTTGAATAGGACACCTCAAAGACGGTTTTTTCTCTATAACTTTAAAATCCTTCACAACAAATTTTTAAAAATTGGTGTACGGCATAAACATTCGATGGTAAATAGGACTCCGTATTCGAAATTTCAGAATTTCATTCAGGGGCGTCACATGCGGGAGAGGGTAAGTGTAAAAATATCCCTTCTTCTCCGGATATTCAGGTTACTGTGATTTCGTTTGGAAATTATTTCGAATACGGAGTCCTATTTACCATCGAATGTTTATGCCGTACACCAATTTTTAAAAATTTGTTGTGAAGGATTTTAAAGTTATAGAGAAAAAACCGTCTTTGAGGTGTCCTATTCAAAGGGCCGTAGCTCCCTTAGGAAGCATTTTCGGATCCTTATCAATAGGAACTTTTTGCCTTATTTTCATGCAAGGAATACGCCTCTGAAAGGATGCCGCTTACTTTTGAATCACCCTGTATACCAAAACGCTCGGTTTATCCATTACAGGGTCGTGTTGAAACTGAATTTTTATTTTTCATTTCTATGCAACTCCTGTCTTTCAAATTCGTGGAGAAGTGTGTTCCACATATTAAATATCATTGATATGATTGATGATTCCATACGGAAATTATGTACGAACATCTACTAACAAGAATGAAATAATCCTGAAAAGTATCATATATGAATTGAATTGAATTTGTTTAATCAACTGACAAAGTAATGAAAATATCACAAACTTATCGGTGAACTGAAAGTTTGGTTTTGAATGGGGCAATAGAAAACATCATTGAGATCTATATTCAGTAGCGTATTCAGAAAAATATCTATCAAGAAATTTCAGAACTCAACTTATAATAAGACAATAATGAAATATACCAAAAAAGAGAAACAGCGGAACATGTCGTGTGTCATGAATTTTATGGAAATCTCATCGTTTGTAAAGTTTTTACATATCCTCAATAATTCTCTACATAATCATTCAAAGTAATACACAGGGTGTCTCTAAAAGGTTGAAACATGGCTCGTCTGTGGACTCCTGGGATAAAAACAAGTTGATTTAGGGCAATTTACACGTATCCCAAAATCGTCTCGTTGAGTTGGTACCAGGCGTTGAAGCTTGAAAAAAAAATAATAATTTTGCTCATAAAAAGAGTAGGTAGGCTGAGATTGAATTCCATAATTTTTGGCATGGCATATTCTGTGACTGTAAGTCACGTTTTGAGGTATTTTTGATCATGATCAGTGACCTACAAGTGTTTTGAACAACCATGTTGTACAAATTTGGTTTTAACTTTCCAGAGGTCGTACTGGAAACTTCCAGTTTTTCTTTCAGCAAGATATCTCCTTCAGAAATATTTTTTGTATTGTGTTGATTTTCAAAGTTCATTTGCAAATGAATAATTTCTGATCTGAGGCATCTTATGCATTTTTTAAAAAAATTATTTGGTTGGGACATGGCTTGACTGTAGACTCCTGGGATAAAAATAAGTTAATTTTAGCCAACTCACCTATATCCAAAATCGTTTCGTTGAGTTGGTACAAGGCGTTAAAGTGCTCACCTTGGGTCCTGAATATTTATCGCCGAATTTGTAACACGAGAGTTGTAAAGCCCGCGAGGACCAGCAACATATCAGTTTTTTCTGTGACGGGAAAAAAGTTTGGCATTTCATCTCTGTTGGCAGGCTATAAAATGTCACTTTTCATGGATTACTTTCTTCTCGTGGAAAAGTGGGTACTTTTTTCCCAAATATCTATCACATATATACACACTGTTGATGGTTTTTGTTGTGCTATAGTTCCGAAAAATGAGTCAATATAATTTTCGTCTCCGAGAAAGAACGGTCTTTTTATTTTCCATTTGACTTTGCGGTTACGTATAATACTAAACAACTATTAATTCGCAATTTTTTGAAATCAAATCACAGAGTCAGATTGACAGAAGTGACATCAGATATTTGATTATTTCAAAAGAATGACAAAGATGCCTACAACGCAGGTGTACCTACTGTTACTGTTAATTTCACGTCGATGTACTCTTCAGATTTCAAAATAATGTAATATCTTCTCAATATTGATTCGCCCGTTCTTCTGTCACAGAAAAAAAAGTGTATCATACACGGGAAAAATATTAGATTTTAGCTCCAGGTTGTGTTGTCTCCCGACGCGTAGCGGAGGGAGAAAAAGAACTGTGAACCTACAACTTCTTCCTCTTGTATAATAAATTACTATGGTGTCCAATAAGGATACATTGAATTCATGATATGAACAGTCCGACTTATTAGATGAATCATTTATTCGCAAATGAACCTCGAGACTTATCAAAAATTAACACGATACAAAAAATATTTCTGAAGGAAATATCTTTCTGGAAAATGAAAACTGAAAGTTTCCACCCAGATAGCACAAATTCCTTTTGAGGCCCTTCTGAGGCATTCACAATCATGTCCTCAGGACGTCGAGAGCGAGCCTGAGGACATTCTCAAGACGTCCTCCTGTTACCATTCTCTACATACTAATAACGTCTCAGAACATCCCTATAAAATCTTTTGAGACAACCTCAGGACATCATGGTAACAACTTGAGGCGGTTTTTGATGATGTTTCAAGGAGGTTCAAGATTTATGGGAGAATATTATTCGTATACAGAATGAGTCACTATATAGTGTGTTCTCCTCCGATATTAGCCAAACCGTCAGATATATAAAATGAAAATTCAAGTACACCAGTAATAGGGTTTCATAAGAACAATCACCTCAAGTTGTTTTCATATCTATAGGGTGTTCGAATTCCAAGATATCAGTCGATGATTGGTTTTTTTCAATGGAACACCTTGTATATTATTGCATTTTTGAGTTTTCCCTGAAGAGTTGATTCCATCAATGCATCACACTTGGTGTCTAGTGGGAATTATTACAGAGATATAGGGTGTTGACAATTGAGATTCTTCAAATGTAGGATTTTTTGTGTCGAAACTATTCATTAATGGTCAATTCCGATTGAATGTCAGTAGATAGTAAATCGAAAGTTTATAAGGATATGTGAGCCGTTTTGACCAATATTGAATAGTTTCCACAAAAAAAATCCTAAAATTGAAAAATCTTGTTTTTGAACACCCTATATCTCTGTAATCATTCCCGCTAGACCCCAAGTGTGATACATTGATGGAATCAGCTCTTCAGGGAGAACCTAAAAATGCAATAGTATAAAGGGTATCCCATTTGGAAAAAAACAATCATCAGTCAATATATCTTGGAGTTCGAACACCCTACAGATATATATGAAAACAATTCAATGTGAAAGTTCTCATGAAACCCTATTACTGTTGTACTTGAATTTTCTCTATTTATCTGATGGTTTGGCTAATATACAAGGATAACACACTATTGACTCACCTTGTATTGTGCAAATGATAATTTCTTCAGAATAATATGGATCTCATGATATTTGCAATATTTCCCTCTATTTATAATAGGTTCAAATGAAAAACCAAATGAAAAACTTACATTCTATTATTTATAACTTATTCTGAAAAATTTCAATTTCCTTTCCAAAGAAATGTGTTTCAGCTTCTTGTTGAGCACTACTAGAATTTATTGCCTATTGATAGTTATATTTCTCCATGTTGTTTTTGATTTCTGAACTCTGGACATTCCTGATGCAGAATAATCAACTGGAAGTTGAAGCCTTCATGCAATATTTTATAGATTCTGAAGAAGCAAAACTATCTTGGAATGAAAATATCATCAGGTTTGTGTTTTGCATAACCTTCTGAAACAAACAATGTATTAATATTTCATGTCCAGTACTTACTATCAATGATATGATTTATGTAGTTATAGGTACCAACCATTATTGAATCTACTGAAAGTTCAAGTCTGCATATGTACAATCTTTCATAATTTCCAAAGAAGCCAAAATATCTTGGAATAAAATATCTCTGCTCTGATGATATCATCATTTTGTGTTATCAATAACCTCCTGAAACAAATAATGTACCTATTAATATTGCATGTTCCAGTCCCTACTATATCAATGATTTGATTTAGGTACCTACCTTCATTGAATATACTGAAAGTGCGAACATGCATACTCAATCTCACATAGATTTCGAAGAAGCCAAAATATCTTGGAATGAAACATCTCTGCTCTGATGACATCATCAATCTTGTGTTCTCATTAACTTCATCTGAAACAAATAATTACCTAACCTATTAACATTTCATGTCCAGTACCTACCTTTATTGAATTCATACTGAAAGTTCAAGCTTCCATACAATATTTCATAGATTCCGAAGAAGCAAAGCTATCTTGGAATAAAACATGTTTGCTATGATGATATCATCAAGTTTGTGTTCTCAATAACCTCCTGAAACAATAAATAATGTATATGAATGTATCAATATTTCATGTCCAGTACTATCAATGATTCTATTTAGTATTTACTCACCATTGTTTCTTGCTACCTGAGAGAAATGTCATCAACAGAGATTATCATCCTTTTGTTATTGTTATCTTTTAATTCTGTGCAATAAGTTCTTCTCGCAATCATTTTGTGAAATCGAAATTTGATGAAGGTATTTAATGAATACTCTAATAATTTTGATATAATCATCAATATATTATGATGTATCTTGAACAAATCATGACTATCATGAGACATAACCTCAATTCTAGTTCTTCTTTTTCTTCCTTTTGTCTTCGATGACACGTTATTTCATGGAATGTCATCTGAAGACGTCCGTAGGCACGAAATTCTTTACATCCTCAGGCTGTCACTGAAAGAACTCATTTAGGACAATTACAGCGCTAAATTTACGCCTGATGATGTTCTTAGGTTGTAGAAAATAGAACGTCCTCTCCAGGCGTTTGGCGACACATTGAGGATGACCTTAGGCGAGTGTGTGCTATCTGGGCAGTCTGACCTCTTAACAGTTATCACCCAATATGTACGGCAACATGGTTGTTTGAAACACTTGCAGGTCACTGATGATGATCAAAAAGATATCAAAACGTGACACACAGTCACAGAACTTGCTATACCAAAAATTATGAAAATCGATCTCAGCCTTCTCTTTTTATAAGCAAAATTATTTTTTTCTAGAAAAACGCAACGAGACGATTTTGGATATACTTAGGTATAAGTTGGCCTAGATCAACTTGTTTTTATGTCAGGAGTCTACAGCCGAGCCATGTCCCAATCTTTTACAGACACCCTGTATATATTTTCATGTAATTTTTCTGTTTCAGTTGTCGTCTGCTACAAGATTCTATGTGTCTGGAACTTCCACAAGCATTTGAAAAGTCTCAACTTCTGATCGACCCAATCATAATTGGTTTCAGTAGCAGATATTAATTCAATATTCTATATATTCATGAATTGACAAACATTGAAATTGTGCTATAATTGTATTTTGTGCATTGACTCAGTGTTTGAATATTATAATATCATCGTGATCCACACTGTTTTGAGGAAGCAACTTCTCAATAAAAACAAAAAATTTGAATAATTTCTCGGATTATTAGAGAGCAGGTATTTCAGAATGAATGCTGAAGGTCATATTGATTACTGAAAATGGTTCAGATGTGTTTCGTGCAAAACAAAATTACTTCAAATTCGAAGCAGAGTGCTTTCGATCATTCTGACATCATCAGTGCAAACCTGCTAGTGGGTTATACAAATGAGGATTTTGAAAAGAAATACTCGACATTGAATTCGTAATTTGAATAGTGATGGGGTCATTACTCGTCAGTAGATTTGACAAGAAATATTCCATAGAATATCTTTGGTCATTCTTCGATTGGAATAATTACGATTTTGAAGAGATTTTTTCAAACTAGAATATTCCAAAGTATCATAATTTCAAATTTGCTATCGCACGTTGTTGCCATAGGTTTGAGAGAAATTGATGTCTCAGAAAATCTCAGATTGACTGAAACTGAAGTGGAGTACTACAGTTGTCATGACAGATCTGTTATGGCGCATCTGACACAACAAATATGACATGACAGCACAATGACATGGTATCATGAATGTTCAAATCGATTTCAGAATGTCAAAAAATGTATCCCAATGTTTAATGAGGATATTCCATGTACAATTCCACCACTTATATGGAACTGCCATCGCCTGCAATATGAGAATCAATCAGAATGGTGTACCCCGATAGTAGGTTTAGCTTCTTCCTTTCGAGCCTTCAAGACCAGTTGTCACGGCAACGACGTTTTCTCGTCAATCGCGTTGTCACCGGCAACCAGTTGTCAATGGCAACCACGTTGTCACGGCAACCACGTTTTCATGGCAACCACGAATCTGCCCAGACAGCACTAGAGATTCCTAGGACATTCTCTTAATATGCTGAAGAGGAGGAGTATATTCCGATTACCCAACGAATATTCCTTGAATATATACATGCCTCTGGAACATCCAAGAAATATTCCAATGTGAATATTGCATCAACATATTCTAAAGTAATATACAAGGAAAATGCCATCAGAAAAATCCTGAATCACTTTTTTTTCACAATCCTTTTGATCAATAATAATGGCCGACGAAGTTTTAGGAGCGAACAATATCGAGATAATGGATTGCATATTTTTGTTGTCATACCCATTATAATGAACTTTTTGAATCAGCCTGTAACTGCAGAACAGAAAAAATATTCTGATCGATGAATAAGAAACATAATAAAAGTTCATTCTCAATTCTCTTCTTTTTATCTCTTCGGGCCCACGAAATGAAATTCCTATAATGTTTGAAGAACGTCGTGCGTCTACTAAAGGAAGAGGAAGTGTAGGTTTGAATATTCTTTGAACTTTTTGGGATTATTAATTCTTGAGAATACAGAGATATCATCAAAAATACATACCAGTCAACCTGATCGAAATTGTTTCATGACATCACATGCCTCTTCAGGATTATGAAGAAAGAAAATATCTGTGTGATCATTTAAACGATCGAGATAAGATCAAGAACCCTCAAGTAGGCACAAATTGCCATGTTCATATACAAATACAAATTGGAGCCTGTAAGGGACTCTGAAAATCACTTTCTGTTTCGATAGGCGAATTAGTCTCAAGTCATTTTGGATTTCTTTGGGTCACATAACCAGAAAATGCTCTTGTGAAAGTAGAAGTAAAACACACAAATTTCAAAATTTTCATAAAAAGTGCTATTCATCGCCCTGTGCCCTGTGGAATATCAATTCTTTCATTTCATCGTTCTTCCATTTCATGATTCTGAATACAATGAAATGAGCTTCTGAAATCTGACATCCCAATGGAAATCGATAAATAATTCTTGAAGATATAATCTTACGAATCTGAAGCAGAGCACATCGATATGATTGATATACATAGTCTAAAGAATATTTCCAAGATGACGTTAGAATTGCTAATGTGTTGAACTTTGGGTGGAAAAGGGGGTCTCACCCCATATATAAAAATGCATTATTTCATTTCATTGGGGCCATTAGATAGCATACGTCGAGCATTCTCAGAATTTAGAATATTTGCACTTATTTCAATACCACCCTGTATATAATAGTGAGAGCTCCCTGACTTCTTTATGATGTTCTCATGAGGTCAAAGAATTAGTGAATGTCACATCACTCACCAGGCGGATGTATCTTCCTTAGATGGAAGCTGAGAGCATCAACGTATGTTGGGGTGGTGAACCCCATATGTGAGAACAGTTTTCTGAAATTGATCGGAACTGTGCATTATAAATAATGAGAAGCTCTTGAGGTGAAGAGCAGATTCTTACACGGAATGAGAATGCTAGTTCTTGTCAAGCAGCCATGATTTTCTTATGAATGAGTATGGCTGATGGAAATACCGATCATAGTGGTATTGGTGGAAATGGTGGTACCAGACATTGTTAAATCAAATCAAATCAAATCAAAATATACTTTATTGCCTGAAGAATATAAATTCTTATTGACAAAGCGTTTGAGAACTTAGGTACTAATCACATGAGTAAGTTTACATAGCGGCCGAAGTCACACGACATAGTCTTATCAGTATCCTGAATATAAACGATAAATATAATGTACAAAAATATAAATAAAAATACACACATTTGTTGGTAACGGCAAAAGAGCTGCCTTATACCAATGTCAATGTCATACAGGTATATGATGATAATAAAAGTTATAAAATATTATAAAAAACGTCATAAAAAAGATCATAAAAAAAGATCATAAAAAAGATCATAAAAAACATAGATAATAAAATAACAATTAGGAAACCTGATAGAATTCATTGAGATTATAACAAGCTCTCTCCAAAAGAAACTGTTTCACGGATTTCCTGAACTTTTGTTCATTTTCAATTCTTTTTAGGTGCAGGGGCAAATGATTGAATAACTTCTTGCTTTCGTAGATAATAGAGTTCTTAGTAAGAGTTGATATGGGAATAGGTAATTTAATGTTTAGGGAAGAGCTGCCGCGAGTAGTGTGAATCGATGACGCGTATCTGAATTCTTTATATTTTTTATGTACTAAGCATACGGTTTCCAAAATGAAAATGCAGGCCAGGGGCAATATTCCATGGAGCAAAAATAAAGGTCTACAAGCGTCCCTCGAGCCGGCTTTGCACATGTATCTAAGAGCTCTCTTTTGGAGCATAAAAACTCTATCGAATAAATAGTTCGCAGTCATTCCCCAGAAGCAAATACCATAACGCAGATGAGATTCAATAAGTGAAAAGTATGCATTCCTTGCCGCAGTTAACCCTAATTCGTTAGATGTAACTCGTACGGCATAACAGCCAGACGCTAGCTTTTTAGATAAATTTAATATATGTTATATCAGGCATACTTAGTTCTGCCTTGCTATAGAAAATACAGGTTTGAGTTTTGGTGTGCGTAATTTCAGCAAGTTCGTCATTGACAGCGTTGACCTGCCTGTGTCGAAAGTTCATAGTTTCCTGGAAAGAAATGAGAATTCTAGAAGAGGACGCTGTGTGGAGAGTAATATCGTCCTCAAAGCTGTGGTTGGGGCAAGTGGTCGTTCATAACAGATCAATGATATAAACTAGGAACAATGTTGGTGCCAAAATTGATCCCTGTGGAACGCTGAAATTGATGGCAGTGGTATCCGATCTGACCTGAAATGACAATGACCGGCAGTCAGACTGCTCCGGACCCTTTTGGTCATTTCATGATCCACATTATGATGTCAAATGAAACTCAAAGACGAGTGTGAGTACTTATTCAGCATCCATATTTATTGATTCCGTTTGTCACACAAATAGACAATAATGTAAGGTTCCAGTGAGTCTATTGTTAGGGAGCCTCACAAATTCACCTGGATTTTAGGTTTCATATCAAATGAATTGTGAGCATTTTTACGAATTTTTTGTGGAATGAATAGTCCCCTCGCAATACCAATGGTGTTTTACTGTAATTCGCATTGTTACCTAGCGAGAAATGAATGTGACACCCTAGGGATATTTGTGTTCACTGGTATGACGCAGCTGAGGTGGTAAGCCGTATGATGGTAGTTTCTAACTATGGGAGGAGTCTATAGTGCCAAATAGGGAAGAATGCCTTACAGATATCCAACGCCATAGCTATAGATACTCCATTAGCTAATGAAGCTTGTCATATATGAGTTGAGGTATTCTAAATTTGGCTTTGTCGAAGAAGAAACGGGCTCTAGTTCTGGTGGCTTGAATGCAATTATGTCGTTGTTTATTTGATCTGAATCTTCTGAATCAACCACATTGCCGTGAGTTCCAAATTTCAAAATGTCACGATAGTTGTCGATTGTGTAGTTGATGAAACTCAAGATGAGCTACTGACATGGAGTAGAAACAATATATTGTTAATTGAGGTCCGTGTTGGACACCAAAATTGAAATAGTTTTCTGAGACTTGAGTTGACAGTTCAATACCTACAATTGTTTTCACAAATTCTATGGTTGAATGTGGTAGCGTGTCCATATTGTGAGTTCCTAGTTTTGCGTTGAAACTGCAAGTGTAGATAATAACACAACAACGAGGACAAGGTCATCGCAAACTTGTGAATTGAATAAAGATGGTGGAGCTCTGAACATGTTGAAAGCAAAATAAGTCCTTGTAGGACACTAGAACTGAATTGACTAGGGATATACGTTAGCTCTCATGGTAGTAGGAGGAATAATACCGCTCCTACTCAGTGACAGGTATTCCTCACGTCGCTTAACATTCGACCTAACAAACCAACTGAACAAGTCCACGTTGAGGTGGGATTTTTCTGAAATCGGTTGGTTTTGAAATGATGGAACCATATGCGTTGAACCTCATCAGTCTACCTCAGCAGAGTGCGAATATCATATGTTCAGCTTCTTCTTTCACATAGCAGAAACGTTAGTTTGTTTATTGGCTCGGACTCATCCTTCCTAGGTGGATTTCAAATGACCAGTCCTGTTAGTAATTCTGATAGAATTCACACATTATTCTGGTTCTGGTCCAACGGGAAATTTTGTCCTTCGTCTGATCCAAAATATTTGTTATGGCCGCAATTGTA